TACCTTGAGTGCGAGTCCTCCGGGCCGGCAGGGGGCGCCGCGGCGCGGCCGCCATGGGCGCCGCCGTGTTCGTCGGGTGCGCCGCCATCGCCTTCGGCCCCGCGGCCGCGCTGCTGCTGCTCACGGTGGCGGCCGAGCCGCTGCGGGTCATCGTGCTGGTGGCGGGGTGAGCGCGGGGGGCCGAGCGGGGCCTGGGGGGGGCCGCAGAGGGGGTATGGAGCGCCTTGGGGGGGGTTCTGAGGAGCCTCGAGGGCCGTTGTGGGGATGCTGAGGGGACACCGGGGGACACCGGGGTTCTGGCGGCTGAGGGGGGGCTGTGAGGGAGCGCTGAGGGCGAGGAGGCAGCTCGGGGGGCTCAGAGAGCGCTCAGGGCTCATTTCCCTGCAGCTGAGGGGGGGATGTCCCAGCCCGGCCGTACCGGGGGCAGCCCCGCCTGATGCCGGTGTCCGTGTCCCCCGTCCCCCCCTCCGCCTCCCCCAGGGCGTTTCTGTGGCTGCTGTCTCTGCTCGCCGCCTCGCTGCTCTGGGCCGTGTGGGTGCGGCTGAGCGGGCGGGAGGACGCGGCGCTGCTGCTGCTGCCCGGGGCCGCCGGCGCCGTCCTGCTGCAGGAGCTGTGCCGCTTCGCCTGCTTCAAAATGCTCAAGTGAGAGCCCTCCCGGGGGTCCCCGAGGGTGCGGGGGAGCCCCGCGGGGTCTGTTTGCGGGGAGGGGCGGTGTTTGCTCTCCCTGCCCCGCGGGATTGGGGCTCAGGCTGTCTCCCGGCGGGGCAGGAAGGCGGATGAGGGGCTGGCGATGCTGAGCGAGGATGGGCGGTCCCCGATCTCCCTGCGGCAGATGGCCTACGGTGAGCGGCCCCGCGGGCTCCGGGGCGGAGCTGACGCGGCTGTCCCGGCTCTCCCAGCCCGGGGGCTGTGGAGGGCACGGGGAGAGGGGGGGGCTCTCCTGACCCCCGGCTCCCCACGCAGTGTCTGGGCTCTCCTTTGGCATCATCAGCGGCGTCTTCTCCGTCATCAACATCCTGGTGGAGTCGGCGGGGCCGGGCACGGTGGGGATCCACGGGGACTCCCCGTACTACTTCATCACCTCTGGTGAGCCCGGGGGGTCAGGAGGAGGAGGAGGAGGAGGAGGAGGAGGAGGAAGGCTGTGGGTCTGAGGCACCGTGGTTCTCCCCGCAGCCTTCCTCACCATGGCCCTGGTGCTGCTCCACACCTTCTGGGGCATCATCTTCTTCGACGCCTGCGAGCGGCGCCGCGCCAGGGGCCTGGGGCTGGTGGTGGGCGGCCACCTGCTCGTCTCGGGGCTGGTGAGTCCTCTGGAGGGGGCACCGGGGACCCCCTCACTCCCCGCTGGGGCTGCGGGGTGAGTTACACCCCCCTGAGCAGCCCCAACCCCTGGTGGGGGAGGACGCTGGGGCAGGATTTGGGGGCACACATGGGGGATGATCTGCTGGGGTCCAGAGGAGGGGGATGCGGCTCAGCAGGGTCCAGGCTGGGTTTGTGCAGGGCCTGGCACCCCCTTCCCTGCCGTGGCTGTTTGGGGGGGCTGGGGGAGCTGGTGGGGGATGTGACCTGTCTCTCTGCATCCCCCAGACCTTCCTGAACCCCTGGTACGAGGCCAGCCTGGGGCCCATCCTCATCCTCACGCTCTGCACCGGCCTCTGGGCCTTCGGCACCGCCGGCGGCTCCTTCCACAACGTCCTCAAGTGCCTCTCCTGTAAGGGGGGCTGGGGGAGTGGGGGGCACTTCAGGGGGGCCTCTTTTGGCTGGGGGGCCCAGAGGCACCAGGGTGGGGGTGGATGAATCTCACTGAACTGGGGCTGCATTCCCGGGGGCTTCCACGAACCCCCAAACCGCCCCCACCCCAGAACTCCCCCCACACTCACACCCTTTACCCTCCCCAGGTAAGCAGGAGCCCGAGGGCCGGGTGATGCTCTACTCAGCACTGCAGGTGCCCCCTGAGGAGTGAGCAGAGCTGGACACTCCACCACCGCCTTCACCCCTTTCTGCCCTGCAGTTTGGGGTCTGACTGGAGCTCCTGGAGGGGTTTGGGGTCTGCCCAGGGCCCCATTCCCCTTGTTCCCGGATTCTGTTACACTTTTCCCTCAGCTTCTGGCTGTGGGGAAGGCGGAGGGGGTGCTGACTACCTCGGGGGGCATCCAGGCCTGAGGGGGCTCAGGGCAGGGCAGAAACCCCCCCTTCCCTTGTGTTTTCCTTCTCCCTGGTGGGATCTTTGTCCCTGGTGCTCTGGGGGTGGGGGGCTCGGGACTGGGGGTGCAATGGGGGGTAAATTATTTTTTTGATTCAGAATAAAATCCTTTTCTAAGAGTGCTGTGGCTGCTGAGGAGAAGGGGAGGAGGGGAGAGGGTCACTCCCCCTGCGCCTGCCTCGGGGGTCCTGGTTTCCTGGGGGGCGTGACAGGATCCAGCCCCAAAGCCCCTGGAAGGTCCCATTCCCACCCCACAAAGAGTCACCAGCACTGGAATGGGGGGTGAAAAGGGGCTTTATTTGAGCCCCTGCCGGGTTCTTGGG